GACATTCTGAATGCTTCATGCTTCCACGCTTGCACGTGGCTTTCAAGCCATCAGGCAGCTTTGAAAGTAATTTGTCAACACCTTTTTGTCCTCCCAGAGGAGAGCTATTAATCTGCGTGTCATCAGCATCTAGATGACATCAAAGTCCATGGCAATTGTGTTCCTCCTCCCTGTGGTATGTCAGTGGGACATGGTACGTGCCTGGGAACTTAAATAAAGAGAACAAACGTTCTTATAGGAATTCCACAATATTTTAAAGTTTCTGTGCTTTCTCCTCCCCTGTTTAGCTTAGGGGTCTCTTTCCACAAACCCACTTGTTATGACTCTTTCTCTCTTTTGCAAACAGAAATGTGGAAACACTTGATACTTGGGGCTGTGAGACTCCCAAACCCACAGGGAAATTTAATGTCTAATGGAAGTAGTATTTAATATCTACCATGTTATAAACTGGAAGTAGCAGTAGAGTTTATGAGCATCAAGCTGAATATTGATTTACTCATTGACATCATGGTTTATCTACTCGAGGTGCTTTCTGCCTTCTGAAGTGTTGCAGTGTCCTCCTCAGGGTGGACAGGTAGGATGTAACAGCAGTAACTAGGACCACAGGGGAGCTTAGTCAGGGGAACAGCACAGAAAAGTTTTCATTCCTGATAAGCAGATATGCTCCCACCATAAATGATGGGACCAGCAAATGAGTTTTGAGAAGATGGAAAAGGGTATTAGATGTTTTCTTGATAGAATTTTATCATGTAAAGATGTACAAGCTCTGACTTGGAATTCATCAACTTGACCTACCAGAGAACTTTAAAGAATGGGTGTAAATGCGGGCAGTGCCTTTTGTGAAATGTCCTGCAAACATTTGTTCCAGTAGATTTGATTCTCAATTTACAATGAAGAAGGATTCATTCATCTGAAGAGAGATTGCTTAATGGCCTCTATACAGCCAGAACTTTTATTAATATAATGGTGTCAGATTTCATTTGAAGGGCATTCAGAGCTGCTAAGCAGTTGAAGAAGTGGAATTTTAAATCAAATTATATTTCTCTTCTTATGGCTGGTATTACATTTTTTAGTGACTTCTCAATCATTTACACCTCCCATGAAATGGCCCAATGTAGGCTTTACAGAACAGAGCAACTTACTTAATTTGTTTGGCCTTTGATGTTTACAAAACATGTGTCAGTATTTTGTATAAATGCACTCCAGGTGTTTTCTCCTCCCATGAAACAGAATCCATGGCAGAAAGAAGATAATTAGTCTTCTTGCAGCTTGACGTGTGTGGTGAATCAGGGATACATATATGTATGTTGTGCTATTTATTTGCTCTATAGATTTAAATAATGTCATATATATGTAATATGCATGCAGATAAAATGTGTGAATATGATTATACATAGATAAATAGATAAGAAAATATTCCAAGCTTGTCTTGAGGTGAGACCAGGAAAAATGGCCGTGTCTGCCTGCTGGGAAGGCTCCTTCTCCCAGCTGTGTGGCTCCAAGGTTTCACATGCCCAGAGGACATTTTTTGGTGATCCTTTCAGTGACTGCAGCCAGTGTGGCTTTTTCCCAATATACCCAGTTACACTGTCACTGATTTCTCATTTGAGGGCTTATCGTGGGGCTCCCAACTCAATATAGGGCCTTCTTTGGAAGGGAGTGGCTGAATTCCTGGAGAAAGTCCTGACAACATATTGAAGGTGTATGAAGAAATAATGCTTAGAAGTCTTGTTGCAGATGGGTGCCAGTCCTGCCAGTCTTCCCTTGACAGCTTTCCCAGGGACCCTGAGCTTGTGTTCAGTTCTTGGTGTCATCCTAGAGAACACAGAGTTCTTGTGAAGGCTGTTGAAACACTGTACAAAAGAGAGTTTCTTGAGTAGCTGCTTTTCTTCTCCTTTTCTGGCCCTACTTCTGCCCATGTTTCTCTGCTGCTTATGCACAAAGGTTCTTTTCCTTCATCCAGATTAGGGATGGGATTGGGGAACCCACTAGGCTTAATACATAAAGGACTAATATCACCTGTAGCATCTCCAGCCTTCCTTGGGCTCTTGTCTCAGGTGGCATGGAAAAAAATAGTTACTATTAAAGATTAATAAGGCTTCACAGGTGGTTATCAAGTGTTTATACTTGTGTTTGAAAATCCTCAGTATAATTTTCAGTGTCTTTGTGGTACTGTGACAAAGTATGTAATTTCTGTCAGTAGTAGAATATTTCATTGAACAAGTCTGGCAAATGCTCAAAGAATTTACTGTTTTAAATATGCAATTTTACATGTAGATTTTTTCTTATTTCCATTAAAAGTCCAGAACACCTTCAATTGGAAGAATAATAGAACTGTATTTCATTATCTCAGTGCCAATGGCTTGGGAAGAGGTTATTGTGGAGTTTTATAGGCATAATCTGATTAAACAAATGATGTGAGTAAATACGCTGGAGACTTGTAGATAGGACTGGATACTGGGGCATCCATGTGTATCTGGTATGAGGGTAGAGACCCAGAACGTGGGCCTGATTCCCAGGGTTATTTTAAAGCAGAATGTATTCTCTGCAAGCATCACAGGTATTTGAAGCATCTTGCCAGGAGTAGCTGAAAATGTTCACTGTAAGTAGGCTGAGCATAGAGTTTGTGTAATACATGTACTGTGTTTGTGCACATATATTTTATAATATCAGTTACCAGTTTCTGCCCCTGCCTGTTCTGTAGGTTCTGTGTAGTAAACTTTCTAGAAAGTAGTCAGGGACTTGGTGTGACAGAAGGTCAGTAGTTTGGAGGAGAGCATAGTCCAGTCCTGTGACTTCCCTGCTGGCTGGAGGAGTCGTGTCCTTGGGCAGCCTGGTGTTCCTGGAAACATTTTTAGACTGTCAGAAAATTTGCTTCTTGAAAGGAAGCTGGATTTCTGATGGGAAGTCCAGGTGGAGCTGCCACAAGTCTTAGAAGTTATGTAGTAAATCCGTTTGTAATCCAAAGTCCAGATAAAGCTGAAATTTCAGTCTCATTGTTTTCAAGACTTTATACAGAAAACGTGTGTGTTGTGATGAGCTGTTTGCTTTGCCTGTGCTGCAGGAAGGTGGGCCATGCTCATGTTACCCTTCCTTTAATTCCATCACCCGATACAATTAGACTAAATTGGCATTAGACTAAAGCTGCCTTGGGGTGATTTGTTCAGAATCTTTTTGTACAACTCTGGTATTGCCAAACACAAAGAGCCAGAAATCCTGAAGAAGCCTTATTGAGCCATTTTCAAAATCATGGGCTTGATTTAAAAAAGATACAGGTTGTTGGGTTTGTTGGTTTTTTTTTAGTTTATCTTCTGTTTTTGAGTTGCATGGTCTGGCTTCCTCTGTAACCAGCAGGTTTCAAACTTATACTTTCCGTTAAAATAAGTGGCAAACTTTTCATGTGAAGGAGCTGGGTAGTGAGAAACAGGGCAAATCTTCTCACTCAGGATATGCAAAGAGGGAGAAATGAAAGAGCTGCCACTCTGAGCAACACATTTTCAGGTTTACAGAAACGAAATTCTTTTGAACACTTGCACTGCAAAGGTGTGTGTCTCCTGCCTGAGCTGGCATTGCACCTCTCTTCTAAATCAGGGTATTTTCATGTAGGTTTTTTCAGACACATGCAGCTCTCACCATGTAGGTGTATTTTTTTTCTTGCCTCTCCAGGGACAGCCCTACTTTCCATTGGTGATGTTTCTGGTGGGAATGGCACATGAAACCAACTGGCAGCATTAGCCTGAGGCTTTCTGACTCTGGTTTTGAGGCCCGTATTCTCTGGGATGTGTTTTTTATTAGAGCAGAGATGTGATCACAAAGCTAGGTATAAAATTTTACAGGATATAATTTTGTAAGCCAGCCATGCTATTACTGCAGCTGTTAATTACTTCATTTTTAACCCTCATGTAGGGTACAAAGGAGAGTAAAATGTTTGGGCCCAGCCACTTACGTCACTGTGTCACGCAGCATGTTGAGATTTCAGAACATCCCATCTCGGATCTGAAGCAAAGGAGTTTTCTTAAATGACTTTCACCATCAATCATAGCACATAGCATAGGGAACATTTAATAAAACCATCCCTGCTTTTCTGTCTTTGTGTACTTGCTGTTCATTATCATAGTGGTTATCCTGAATAAAAACATGGTGATCTGTCAATGAAATAAAAGCCTGCCTGAATCTCCCATTTGGTGAGAGCAGGACAGGTAATACCAGACCCTCAGCAGGCCTTTCATACCTCAGATCTGCACCATAATCATTGCAAAGGCACATTTATAAAGCCTGGAAGTGCAATAGGAAACATCTCTGGATGAAACAGCAGAGCTGGCCTAAGGGAGGGCTGAGAAGCATTTAGGAATACATTTGAAATTTTCCATTTGAGCCTCTAATCTTTGTCTAGGCTGGAAACACTCTTCATAAGGTATATGGAGGATGGCTCCTTATCTGAAGAAAGTTTACCTTGATAAAATGAGACTGGTTTGAGTGTGTCCCTACAGAGCTGGGGCAGCTGGAGGTGCTCAGACTTCAGACAGGATTAGTGAGAGCCATGAGTGTGGATGGCTCAGGCCTGGGGACATGAATGCAGGCTGAGATATGGAAACTATCTCTGTTCTAGGCACAACATGGGCTAACAATGAAGGTATCAAAGGGGTGTGTTTTTTCTCCCAGGCCTAATGTTGTTTGCCTGGGCAATAGACACAGTTTTTTTGAAATGGACTGAAAATTACTCCTGCATTTTCTGTGTTTTAATACTTGCAAATTGTGTAGTGAGTAAACAAAATCATCCGTTGATTGGTTAGGAAGTGCTGATCTCTCTCCACCAGATTTACTCTTTTTCTGTTTGTACCCTGAGGAATTAAGAGAAACTTAGAAGTCTGTAAGATTGTTTGGTTTATAAAAGCATTTATATTGTTGTACGAGCCACTAACTGATCACCTTAACAGACTGTGTGTAACAGAACCTGTAAATTGCCACTGAGATCAAACCTCTTTGTCCTCCTTTCCAGAATGATGAAGTCCTCTGTACATACAGAAGAAGATGACTTTGTGCCAGAGCTTCAGAGAAGCATCCACCCCAGAGAGAGGCCAGACTGGGAGGAGACTCTCAGCGCTATGGTAAAACACCTTGTGATTCTTCTGCATGCTTTTGGTTCTGAACAATCTACCCTTATAATCTAGTAACACATTGATTTGTATTCCCTGAGTTTCAGCTTTTTCAATAGCTTTCATAGTACCTTCAACAAGACCAAAAGACTTTCCTTCCTCTGGCAGTTTGTCAAGGAGAGAGAGTAGGAGCATGCAAAATGCTTCTATTAATATGTGCCCCAAAGCAGGTCTAGTAACCAATTAAAAGGTCCACAATGTCACAGAGATTTTCAATCTGCATTAACCTCCTTTTCAGCAAGACTTTTGAGCATAAAGGGAACTTCTTGTAAAAACATGCTCCTTGAAGCATGCAGCATTGTGGCAGAATAAGACTTAAGCAAAAAAGCTGGCTAAGTCTACAGAAATAAAACCTCAGTGTGAAAGCCAACCTACCATCAGAGGAAACAGAACTGCAGAAAAGCAACCACAAAGGTGCTGTTCTCATGCCTACAGAAGGCACTACAAGTGGGCCACAGACAACTCTATTACCTTGGTATGTTTGTTTTCTTTTTAAATGAGTAAAGTACCTGCAGTTGCACTTTCTCAACTCCCTCTAGCATTTGGAAAGAAAAATGTTATTTTATTAGCAGTCAAACAGGGCAGTCTAAGTATGTGGTTTTGTGAAGTTCTCTTAGCTCACAGCAGCTTGACCTGCCTTCTTTCAGTATAGGAGTGTCTGGAAGTTGTGTTAATTTCTGATTTTCTAAATTGCCTCATTAGCATGCTAAGCTGAAGAGAAAATTCCCGTCTGTGACAGACTTTGGGTAAGGGGAAGGTCTGAATATTCCAGGACAGCAGTGGGGCTCTGGAGGGTGATCAGTCCAGCAGCATGGCTGAAGTTACTTACTGTGATGTGGCAGCAGTGACAAATTTTCCCTGTCCTTGGCTCATGTGGCAGTGGCAGAGCTTCAGCCTGGAGAAGCCAGATGTTCTTTGCCCCTGGACTGGCAGCAGTGCAGCAGCAGGAGGAGAGATGGGCTGGGTTGAGCTGTACTGCAGGACAGTCAGATTCATAGCATGTATGAGGCTGAGGGGTGTTCATCCCAGTGGATTATTTGAAGTTGAAAGCACCTTTAATAACTGCCTGGGTCACATGAAGTACATTTTGGATTAGCTGTTCTTTATACAATGTTCAGAAAATATGTAGGTAATAAACTCCCTGTGAGCCAGGTATTTATTTTAATTCTCAACAGGGGAACAAAGAGAAATACTATGTTTTACTCTTTTCAAAGATCATCAAACCCCAGGTAATGCAATTATAATATTTTGTTCCAAACTTTATTTTCAAGCAAAAAAAAAAGCCCAGCCCAAGACTTAGTGTTCTGTCTGCTTGTGTTTTCTGTGCCTCTTGCTCTGCTTGACTCCTTGCTTATCCACTGTTTAATTTTACTGATTGCAGTAAGTATGTTTTTGCTGGTATGTGGGTATTTTTCCCTTCTCTCCACCTAGCCAGCAGTTCACCCTAGTGCTGCCTGTTGGAGAGCTCTGTCTGTTCTCATCAGGGTTATTCAACCAGCAGTGCCTGCTCCTAGCCCCTGGAGCCAGGAGGCTTGTGTAAATCACTGTTTGACACTGTGTTGTCTGTAACCTCAAGGTGTGTCTCAGGAATGTGAGTCTAATTCAGTTCTCCACCTGTAACACAAGTTAGCTGCTGTTCCTCATTTGTTACTGTTGTTTTTTTTCCATTGCTGATTTGCAGTGAAGGAAGGTTCACCTGTTCTGCCTTGATGCTTTCCCTCTTCTCACCAAGGCAGTTGTGCCCCTGGTCAGTGTTCAGAGTTCAGCTCTCCCTGCAAACTACACGTATGCATGACATGCCAACTATGAACTTACTTTTTAGAACATGTCCTCTTGCACAGCCCAATGCCAGCAACATAAAAACTGAACGCTCCACGTGGCTTTAAAAAAAGGTATTTAGAGGATGATAAACACATGCTGCACAATGATTGGTATGTAAAAAGCAAAGGGCGACATGTAAAGCTACTGAACTTGTATTTATAAGGATTTAGATTTGTGCTTTCAGTGTTGCTTTGACCTCCTGGGCCTCTGAATACATTGTAGATGGGTAGGAAAACCTCACTTGCTCCTGTTTCCTGTGTTGAGTGAATCAAATTTCCATTTTCAACCTCTGCCTTGTGTCCAGTCAGAAGTTAATATTTACAAGTCATTAATATTTACAAGCTGTAAATATTTACAGGACAGTGTTCATCACCATCTCTTTCTACTCTCTGTTTAACCACTGCATCTCCTATATTCTATCTCCTGCCTCATAATTTTAAGCCTGATTGTTTTTTTTCCTTGCTCTTTTCCTTCATTTTGCATTTTTAGCCTCTGGTTTAGCCTTTCCCCAGAGCATGCTCCTTACATGGTGTGCAAGTTTCAGGTTTTATTTTGGGTTTGATTTTGGTTGCTGTTGCAGCCTCTGGGAATGGAGGGGCTACAGGGACTTGGAGAAGTTGGACATAGATGTGTTGTTCTCTGCTCCATTGCTTCCCCTGGCAGCTGGAGACCCAACTGGGTGCAAGGCTTTGTCACTTGAAATGAATTTCACCTTCTGCAAGGTGAGCAAATGCTGAGACTAGCAACACTGGAGAGCCTGGGAAAATCTGACACAGTCAACAGACCAGTGATGCTCATTCATTTGTCTCTTAAACTTTGCCTTTGTACATGTTTTTTTACTTTGGGAAAAGGCCACTTATGTGTTCACAGTAAGAGGAACATACACAAGTCATCCCTGCTCTCCCTCCTCCCTTTTATCTGCAATATATTTTGAAGTGCTTATTATTAATTTATATAAGTGCTTAATTTCCAGAGCTTTTTCTTAACAAGAAATAAACTGAAGGTCTTTCTAAATGTATGGAGGTTGAATGTCTTGTACTGTAAATACAAGGCTGAGCAGAAGCTATTTTAATATTCCTTTCATTGCCAGTTTATTCTGGGCATCTGAGTAGTTTTAGCCCATTGTTTGATACTACTTTTATCATATTTTTTACATTTACTGTTTGTACTCTCACCTACTTTTAAAAACTGCTTGTTTCTTGTTTGTGGATTAGCAGACAGGCGAGTGATTTTGTATGACACCTGGTTAATCTGGGTACTTCTGGTAGTTCTTGAAACTTCACAGGAGTTGTGAAATACCCTGTGGTGTAGGTGTTGAGAACCAGGCTGACTGAGATGCAACACAAGATAGATAGACTTTACAGGAGTCAGATCAGACAACAGCTGCCCGAGCAGCCCTCAAGGACTGCTATATATTGTATTCCTTCCCCTGACTCATCTTCTGTATTTTTAGAATTTGGTCATATTAGAGACATGTTTTTTCTCACTGTCTCAGCCCCTGATTCCCACTGTGCTGCTGCCTGCTGGGTAACCTTCACACATGCTGGTTTTTCTTTCTTTGCTCCAGTTTGGAAAATGCAGTTGATGATATTGACTTTGTACAACACTCTGGAGTTCTAGGGATAAAAAAAAACCCATATTTGAGCCAAGTAATATCACAGTGTATGGATTTTCTAACATTTCTCTGAAATAGTAATGTGATTTTAATGGAAAGGAGCATCTTTTCCATGCAGGATCCTGAGGAGTGCTCCATTTCTATGTTACAAAAAATGAAGTTGTGAAGAAGAGCCTTTATTCTTATTTCTCATACAAGCCTACAACCCAGCTGTCCCAAAACTGTTATTAACTTTAACAGAAATGGATGTTCATACCTAATATTATGTTTACTTTCTGTTATTGACCATCTGACTTGCTCTCAGCACCTCTTTATGAGTGCAGTAAGTTGCAGTCTTTTAAAAGCAGTGTGCTAACAGCCTCTGCCCCAGCAGGCTGGAGCTGACAGACACACATGCACACTCTAGCCCCATTACCTTTTTTTTCCATTTGTCTACATTTTGTGGGGAAGCAGGATTAAAACAAGCAAGTATGAAAACATTTATGCACCCTGTTGAAGTTGTGCTGTCATAAAAGATACCACCTGAAGCTGCATTAACCTGACAGGTTCTGGAGATAACACGAATATGCTCACTCCAAAGCTAGAAACAGGATTTCTTTTGTGTATTTATGTATGTGTGTCTGGAAAACATCCTACAGTCTGCAGGGATTCATTTGTGAGTAGATCATGGCTGGAGGTGACCAGAGTTCTTCACCATGAGGAAATCAGCCTTTCTTCTCCAGTGTACCTCTAAACCATGGCTTTTAGGATCTAGAAGTATGAATATCTGTAAAGAGGTTAGTGAGATGATAGTCATAGTATCTCCAAGTGCTGATAGTTTATAACTAGCTAGCTAGAACTATATAACAGGTTAGCTAGAAAAGATGTGATGCAGGAACCTCTAAATTACTGATTACATACTGTTATGAATCCTTGAATTTGTCAAATGCATAAGTGAACAAGGAGGGAGGTAGATGACTTGGTACATATTGCCTTTTTCCACTTCTGCTGGTGGAATTTGCTTAGGAAAAATACAGACCTACAAACATTTTAGAAAGGCACAGAGGTTAGATCCTGTCTTGGGAAGTCTCTGGAATAATCCTAGTTCTTATATCAGGTCAGACGAATTCTGAGATCTGTAGTGTTTCCAGCTTTTGATACTAGATGAGGTGAAGTACCATGGCTGGTGAAGGTAATAAAGGCTTTTAATGAGACCTCAATATATCACTCTGGTAAATCTGGGACATGAGTGAGGAGAAAACTATTTTTAAATGCAATTTATAAAAGTGTGTAGAGATTAGTGGATTGTAAAGGTTTAAAGAAAGATTTCACTTTCCTTAGTGTGGGGTTTGTTTCTCGTTCTTTGTACAGCACTTAGCTCAGGCCTGCCCCAGATCTTAATTGTGGCTTCTGCAAGAATAGATGCAAAAAATAGGAGTTTCTTTTAAAATTGTTTTTGGTTGGTTGGTTTTCAATTCTTGGCCAATTCACTGGGAAGAGGCTTTAGCTATTTCTTTACCTCGGTGCTTCAGGACTT